ATCTCTAACGGTCACTAGGTTTGCCTTTTCGGTCCGACCGAGTTTGTTGATTCGGTCCCATAAAGATTGGAAAACTGTGTGTAACGGTTGGATTTTGTGTGGAGGCTATATATACCCCTCCACCTCCTCTTCATTCGTGGAGAGAGCCATCAGAACACATACACGATTCCAACTCATATGTTCTGAGAGAGAACCACCTGCTCATGTGTTGAGACCAAGATATTCCATTCCTACCACTCTAGCCTTCCCAAGTTGCTTTCCACTCAAATCTTCTTTCCACCAAATCCAAATCCTATGAGAGAGAGTTGAGTGTTGGGGAGACTATCATTTGAAGCACAAGAGCAAGGAGTTCATTACCTACACACCATTTGTTACTTCTTGGAGAGTGGTGTCTCCTAGATTGGCTAGGTGTCACTTGGGAGCCTCCGACAAGATTGTGGAGTTGAACCAAGGAGTTTGTAAGGGCAAGGAGATCGCCTACTTCGTGAAGATCTACCGCTAGTGAGGCAAGTCCTTCGTGGGCGATGGCCATGGTGGGATAGACAAGGTTGCTACTTCGTGGACCCTTCGTGGGTGGTTGCTTCTTCGTGGACCCTTCGTGGGTGGAGCCCTCCGTGGACTCATGCAACCGTTACCCTTTGTGGGTGGAGCCCTCCGTGGACTCGCGCAACCGTTACCCTTCGTGGGTTGAAGTCTCCATCAACATGGATGTAGGATAGCACCACCTATCCGAACCACGGGAAAAACATCCGTGTCTCCAATTGTGTTTGAATTCTCCAAACCCTTCCCTTTACATTCTTGCAAGTTGCATGCTTTACTTTCCGCTGCCAATATACTCTTTGCATGCTTGCTTGAATTGTGTGATGATTGCTTGACTTGTCCTACAATAGCTAAAATCTGCCAAGAACTAAAATTGGGAAAAAGGTTAAGTTTTTATTTGGTCAAGTAGTCTAATCACCCCCCCCCTCTAGACATACTTTCGATCCTACAGCAGCAATGAGGATAATCCTCAGATCACGGACCCAGTCTGCATCATTGCTACTATCATCTATCAACTTAGTTTTCTCTAGGAACATATAAAAAATATATGAGCTATATTGCGAGCTGTTGATCTACAACATTGATATGCAAAACTATCAAGAGTAAGTTCATGATAAATTAAGTTCAATTAATCAAATTACTAAAGAACTCTCACTTAAATAGACATCCCTCAAGTCATCTAAGTGATACGTGATCCAAATCAACTAACCCATGTCCGATCATCATGTGAGATGGGGTAGTCATCAATGGTGAACATCTCTATGTTGATCAAATCTACTATATGATTCACGTTCGACCTTTCGGTCTTCAGTGTTCTGAGGCCATGTCTGTACATGCTAGGCTCGTCAACTTTATCCCAAGTATTCCGCAAGCGCAAAACTGTCTTGCACCCGTTGTATGTGAACGTAGAGTCTATCACACCCGATCATCACGTGGTGTCTCGAAATGACAAACTGTAGCAACGGTGCATACTTAGGGAGAACACTTTTACCTTGAAATTTAGTGAAGGGATCATCTTATAATGCTACCATTGTTCTAAGCAAAATAAGATGTAAATAAGATAAACATCACATGCAATCAAAATATGTGACATTATATGGCCATCATCATCTCGTGCTTTTGATCTCCATCTTCAAAGGATCGTCATGATTTCCATTGTCACCGGCTTGACACCTTGATCCCCATCGTTGCGTCGTGGTCATCTCGCCAACTATTGCTTCTACAACTATCACTAACGCATAGTGATAAAGTAAACAATTACATGGCATTTGCATTTCATACAATAAAGAGACAACCATAAGGCTCCTGCCGATTGTCAGATATCTTACAAAACATGATCATCGCATACAATAACGTTTATCACATCATATCTTGACCATATCACATCACAACATGCTCTGCAAAAACAAGTTAGACGTCCTCTCTTTGTTGTTGCAAGTTTTACGTGGCTGTTACGCGCTTCTAGCAAGAACCGTTCTTACCTACGCATAAACCCACAACGGTGTTTCATCAAGTTTGTTGTTTTAACCATCTTCAAGGACCGGCCGCAGTCAAATTCGATTCAACTAAAGTAGGAGAAACAAACACCCGCCAGCCACCTTTATGCAAAACTAGTTGCATGTCTGTCGGTGGAACCGGTCTCATGTGCGTGGACATGTAAGTTTGGTCTGGGCCGCTTCATCCCACAATACCGCCGAATCAAAATAAGACGTTGGTGCTAAGCAGTATGACTATCACCGCCCACAACTCTTTGTGTTCTACTCGTGCATATCATCTACGCATAGACCTGGCTCATGATACCACTGTTGTTGGGAATCATTGCATGGAAAAACAAAAAAAATCTACGCACACGCAATGATCTATCCATGGAGATGCATAGCAACGAGGAGGGAGTGTGTATACGTACCCTCATAGACCGTAAGCGGAACTGTTTCTCAACGCGGTTGATGTAGTCGAACTTCTTCGCGCTTCAACCGCTCAAGTACCGAACGCACGGCACCTCCGTGGTCTGCACATGTTCAGCTCGGTGACGTCCCTCGCCTTCTTGATCCAGCAAGACGTCGAGGTAATAGATGAGTTCCGTTAGCACGACGGCGTGGTGACGGTGATGGTGAAGTGATCCTCGCAGAGCTTCGCCTAAGCACTACGAAAATATGACCGGGGGTGTAAACGGTGGAGGGGGCGTCGCTTACGGCTAAACAATTGTCTGGTGTGTGCTAGGGCACCCCCACATATATATATAGGTGGGAAGGAGAGAGGAGGCTGCCAGGAGGCGCCCCAAGTAGGCTGAATCCTATTTGTCGGAGGGGGAAGGTAAGAGGGGGAGAGGGAAGGAAGGGGGAATCCTATTCCTCTCTTTCCTTTCCCTTCCCCTCTTTCCTTCTCCTCCTAGGCCAGCCCATATGGGGGCGCACCAACCCTTGTGGCTGGTGCATTTCCCCTCTTGGCCCATAAGGCCCATATCTTTTGCCCGGGGGTGCCCGGAACCCCTTCTGGTGACCCGATAAGTACTTGGTACCCCCCCCCCCCACGAAACACTTCCGGTGTCCGAATACCATCGTCCTATATATAAATATTTATCTCTCGACCATTTCGAGACTCCTCGTCATGTCTGTGATCTCATCCGGGACTCCGAATAACATTCGGTCACCAAATCACATGACTCATATAATACTACATCGTCATCGAACGTTAAGCGTGCGGACCTTACGGGTTCAATAACTATGTAGACATGACAGAGGCACCTCTCCGGTCAATAACCAATAGCGGAACCTGGATGCCCATATTGGATCCTACATATTCTATGAAGATCTTTATCGGTCGAACCGTTATGACAACATACGCAATTCCTTTTGTCCATCGGTATGTTACTTGCCCGAGATTCGACCGTCGGTATCTTCATATCTAGTTCAATCTCATTACCGGCAAGTCTCTTTACTCGTTCTGTAATACATCACTTCGTGACCAACTCCTTAGTCATTTTCTTGCAAGCTTATGATGTGTATTACCGAGAGGGCCCGGAGATACCTCTCCAAAACTCGGAGTGACAAATCATAATTTCGATCTATGCCAACTCAACAAACACCTTCGGAGATACCTGTAGAGCATCTTTATAATCAACTAATTATGTTGTGACGTTTGATAGCACAAAAGGCATTCCTCCGGTATCCGGGAGTTGCATAATCTCATAGTCGAAAGAATATGTATTTGACATGAAGAAAACAATAGCAATAAACTGAACGATCAATATGCTAAGCTAACGGATGGGTCTTGTCCATCACATCATTCTCCTAATGATGTGATCATGTTACCAAATGACAACACATGTCTATGGTTAGGAAACCTTAACCATCTTTGATCAACGAGCTAGTCTAGTAGAGGCTCACTAGGGACATGGTATTTGTTTATGTATCCACACATGTATTTAAGTTTCCGATCAATACAATTCTAGCATGAATAATAAACCTTTATCATGGATAAGGAAATATAAAATAACAACTTTATTATTGTCTCTAGGACATATTTCCTTCAAAAACATCACTGCCACTCCATTTTTATCAATTTACATCACACCATTTGAGCACACCATGAAGTACTAGCTACACTCATCCAAATATCCTCAAATTTTGCATGCATGTTATCCAACATATAAGACTAGCCTCCATCAAAATCTAGCCTCATTAGCCACACCATATGACCACAGACCCCTCCCAAAGTTTCCGTGCGAATTGTCAAGTTGTACATGAAGTACCATTTAGGCTCATCTTATTGCTGCCCAAATTTACATGCATGCACATCACCATCTTATATCACCCTACACCAAAAATCAGCCCAAATGGCCAAGCCATCCGACTACAGCAAGATCACAAAGCTTTTGTATATAATTTAATTTCTACGGCAAATGTCATCTATACCCATCCACTTTGCCTCAAACTTTGCATACTTAATTATCATCATCCTCTGTAACACTAAGCTCCCTAGTTTTGAAAAACCCACATTCAATTGAGGTCTCCAACTAAAATTGGGTCACCTAATTTTGACCGGGTTAATAATTTCTCAAAGCTCTCACATTCAATTCTTCTATACCATACAATATGCTTCCTAATTTTTAAGGCCTCACTATTAATTGAGGTATTTAATTTAGAATCGGGTCAACCGATTTTGACCAGGTCAACACTTTTTCAAGCTCTTTTATTTAATTATTTTAATTCACTATGTTCCCTAATTTAGAAACTCTTTCATTCAATTGAGGTATTCAATTTTGAATTTGGTTTACTATTTTGATTGAGCCAACGATTTTTCAAATCAATCAGCAGTAACCGGTTTTCCCTTCGGAAAAAATACACTATCACATTTCCTGATTTCGAAACTTCTATATTTTTGAAAGTATGGAAAATAAAAACTACGGAAAAAATATACTATCACATTTCCTGATTTCCATGTGATCGTTGTGTCACGGTTCACAGATGGCAGGAGCGCTCGTCCAGGTGGTCGGCTCGCCGCCTCCCCTTCTGCCCCCGCCGCGCCGCGTGTCCCGCCGCTTCTCCTCCTCCTCCTCCTCTGGCTCTCCCCGCCTCTCCGCTGCCGTGATATAGCCACGGGCTTCCTCCGAGAAGAGCGCGTCGCAGGCGAGGCGAGGCGAGGGGTCGGGGAAGGGAAGGGAAGAGGATGTCGCTGGGGGCGGTGTTCCACGGCGCGCAGCTGATGCTGGATCTGGCGGTGGCCGGGATGTCGCTGATGTTCGCGCTCGGCCTCTTCGCCGTCGTCACCACCGTGCTCTGCTCCGCCGCCTTCCTCCACCACTCCAAGCCCGTCGCGTCGTAGCCGCGAGCTGCCTCCCACCAGGCCCACGACCCCCTCGGCGCATCCTAATCGTAAGCCCGATGCCAAGAATTTCATCCGTTCATTTCAATTCATTCCAAGGTTGTGCCCTCGGCGATGAGAAATACTGGAATGTAGCGCGTTGGAATCGATTTGTCTAGCACTTTAGTGGTGAATTTTGGATGGAATCAAAGAAACAATGTGCTCGCTCCACATGTTCATGCTTCCTGACTGGCTATGTGGATAAGCATGGACGACGCCACGATGGTTTGAGCAGGAGCACGTTGTCGTACTTGGAATCCAGGAAATTGACATTCAGCACGATTCCCCTAGCATTGTGTCCTGTGTTACATTACTTCAGAGTCCGCACCATTTCCCATGACCCCTGTCGCCCTAACATTTTAAGCAATTTTTACTGCCAAATGTGCCATGTGGAGTACATTTGCTAAGGCTGCATTTTGTGTTTAGTCTCACAAATTAATGTGGCAGGTTAGCTCCCCTCGTTGTCCTGGCCTTGTTGTGATTGATAGCTTGGTAGAGAACTCCAAGGAGTCCAAGCTGGAACACCCTGTACGATTCCCTGAAGATTGTGCCTGCTGTTTCTGTTGTTTCTGAGAATATCTGGTGTGAGATTAGGCATGATAGTCATCTGGGTGATTAGGCATATTTCTTTTTGCGACCTTGAGCTGGCTACTGATGCTTTTGAATGAAGTGGCTTTTATGTGTCTGGTCAGAAAAAATAGCATCCGAAAGCTGAGTGAAACGACTTAAAGTTGGGAATTTCACAAATCACCATCCCTGCCTACTTTGGATAACTGTAACTTTCACAACAAAACATCAACTCACAGCCAAAACCATGTGAATTGATTGTGCCCGGTGCTCACCCTCATCTGAATTCTGAAACAACTCAATTATCTCTTTTGCAGTTTTGCTTTGCCCTGTCTTTGCTAGTTCAGTTGAACTCTTTATCTTTTACTAACTGATTACCATTCCCCTTAATAAGTTTTTCATTCTTTTATCTCAGGAGTGAGATTGCTGTTGGGAGGTAATACCTTCTTTTGCATCATTTGCCCAGCAGAAGGTGCTCCATATGCTACTGCTGCTAGTACTGTTGGGGGGGAACTACTGTAGACGCAAAGAGTAGGAATTGCACATATCAGGTGATAGCTGGAGGCTCTTGTACCTTGTATTACTTGTCATGTCTACTTAAGCTGTTCTGTAAACTACACTTGTTTGTACAGTACATTGTTGGTTCGTCTTGTTGAAATCTTCTACATCTTATTGTTTATAAATGTACTGTACATTGTCTAATGCTTCTTATATGGAAGGGCCGGATATTCCTAGGTTTCATGTGCAAATGCCGCATCAGTTGTAGTAAGATTGATCTACTATATATCATAGGATTTGCTTTACTCAAGGGTAAGAAAGATGTGTTAAGGAGATTTGTGTAAATCCTATTAATTTTTGCTCTGTAGCAGTTCATATAACTTAACTGATAGACAATACTCCCTCCGTCCCATAATATAAGAGCAATTTTGACACTACACTAGTGTCAAAAACACTCTTATATTATGCGACAGAGGGAGTACTATATTAGATTGCTCACCAAACGTGAAAAGATTATTGACAGACACATGATAAAGCAGATTTCTATATACGCTTTTTCTGAGTAAATTTTAACACATGCAGATATTCTGACCTATAAAAATATTGGGAAAGCAGAAGGCCATTGAACCGAATTATCTTTTTGGGTTGGTGGCCTCAAACACCTCATTGGGGAGGTGTATCTGGACAAAGTGATCATTAATGTCTATAGAAACATAGGAGAGCATGTAGTGCTTGAATGTCAATATTAAGAATAGGGCAATGAATAATAATTCAAGGGTGACAGATTTGCATAGGAAGAACTAACCTATGAGGTGGCTAACAAATGGACAAAACAATAGAAGGCAATAGCAGGGACCATGACAAGGCCTTCAATTCCTCATGCCTCTGACATCGATTCTAGCTTGATAAGAAAGAAATAGACGAGCAAGGTTTTTACATCCTTTACCAAAAGAAGCTTGTTCTTGATGAGCTACGTCTTCTATTGTGGCCTCTTTTGCTGCTTTTGTCGTCCCCTTTCTTCACCTTGCCCGCCTTTTTGTTGCTGCCGGTCGAGAACTTGGTAAGCGTCTCAGCCTGTTCATCCTTGCCATGTTCATTGCTGCAATCGTCATTTGTCTGACGATCTTTCTCTTCTTTGCCTTCAAGCACCTTCACTTGAGATGTCCCTGTGGAAGCATCAGACGCCAGGGAATCATAATCTCCATCATCATCCGCGTTGTTCTCTTCCTTCCCTTTCCTCCTCTCAGTGATGTAACCACTGCCATCTTCAACATTGCTCCCTTCACTGCCATTCTCTTTTGCTTCATAGCTGCTCGTGGGGGAGGTCAGGTATATCGTCCACCCGGATTCATTGCTGTTGCACTCTTCGCCGCCATCCCCGGTGATATGGGAGGATTCCATGACAGGCCACGGGAGCGGGAGACCAAAAGAGAGAAAAGAAAGGCCAAAGAAGAGAGGCAGAACGAGGTCGATGGAGAATTCTGCGAACACCAACTCTTATGCTTCTTCCGAAATCTGAATCTCCTCAACAATGCAGCACTGAAGATGGAGTTGTTCTTGTCTATGCTTCTTGAGCACCCATAACCCGAGAAGAGCACCGGATCCTCCTGCACTCAGCCTTCTTCAGAGGACAGAGAATTCAGAGGGAGGGGCTGGATTGCATGAGAGGGGGGCAAGAATTCTTCAGGGCCGGACCATGTGTATGGCTATGGTGTGTCTGGGGGTGGAGGTGTGTGAAGGAACCGCAGAGAGGATGGCAGTGTGTTTAAATGGGAAAGGGTGGCCTATCCTCGCGAGCTCCAACTGTCACCCATAACTTTCCCCAACCATTTGCGTACCCTCTCCTCTCTTGTCACCAAAGCCAAAGCCAAGGGAGGAGGAGGAGCAGGAGGAGGAGGCATTTTGCTTGCAACGCAGTGTTACAGGTATTTCCATCTGTAGTCCATGTGGCCGTAGCGCCTCGCCCTCATGGTGGGGGCCTGGCAGAGAGGCCGGCCTGGGGAGATTAGATGCACCTGCCTGCCTGCCTGGGTTAGCTAGCCCATGATTTATTAGCATTAGATTAGAAGGTTAAGCATGAGGCTGGCATAGCTCAAAAGGCTCCTGTCGCCGCTGTGTCTGCCTGTCATCCATGCCTGCCAAATGCCTAGCTTGCTCACGGCGTATCTCCACTTCAACAACAGTCTGCAGGACCAGGAGAACATGTCTTTTGTTTGCTTTGGTATTGGTACGTACGTGCTACATGTAGACGGTGGACGAGCAACCAGGCCCAGAGCCACTGGACTTCTCATGTGCTGCCACTCTCGTCGTTGTCTTCTTGGTAAGCCAGAACTCTGCCGTTGCAGGTAAGAGCATCGATCTGTGGTGGATATGGTGAGATGCGGTTGATTGGAACATGATAAAGCGCTTGATAAGTATGTTTATTGCGCCGTGCCTGTTGTTTATTTATCATATTCACATAGCTAGATTCGGCGGATACTGCATGCACGATGATATATGATAGCAGTAAAAGGGATACCAAACTTGATTACGTGACATGCTTTCCTCCAAGCCGGAGAAAGGAACAACCGGGCCCTGGCTTGCTTCTGAAGCTTTCGCCGGGGAGAAAAGGGCTTGGGAGACATGAGGAGGCCGGACCTCGTGGTCCTTGTTGTTTCCATGTCCTAAAAATCAGCCTCTTTTCTTGTCTCCTGCGGTTAACCAAAGGAGAAAAGTTTTGCCCGCGTTGCATCTTGTAATTCTAACTCCGTCGTATGCTTGCTTGCTTGACCTGCGTGCGTCGGCACTGTGGCGCGCGGCAGGAAACCGATCGACGCGACCGGCTGGGCTGTGGCCGGTGGCGCTCCTACAGTGCGTGCATGTGTCTGGATTTTCTTGCCTGTTCCTGTGCGTCGGTCAGCGTTCTCCGTTGCCACGGGCTCCGTCCTGTGGCCGGCTGTTCCGCTTCCACGTGCACGTATGTGCACCTGGTCGGGTCACCAGTACGGCGATCGGAGCCCGGCCGCTCAGGTTCACCGCACGGACGGACGCTCGCTGGATCGCGCGCTGTGGGCGGCCGGCCGTGCCCCTACCCCTACACCGCTACCACCCTCGGCCGGCCGGCCGGTGGGACGTCGCGGGGGAGTTCACGTGGGTACGGTGCAGTCGGCGGCAAGCAACGACGACGAACAGCTGCAAGGCTTTGGAGTGACTCGACGACCACCACGCCTCTGCAGGTCTCTGAACCAGATGGTGGCTATCAGTAGATACGTGCCCTGGCCGTGGTGCAAACAGAGGGTGGACACGCCTGTAACTCGTGCCCGTGCTCGGGTAGTTGGTGGGCGGAGCACACGCGCCCTTGCCCCCCGCATCACCTGTCCGAGTCGAGTTGAAGGCCGCCGCCCGGCGAACTGTGACGGGTACAGGGCGGCCATGCACGTCGGGCTCGCGGGTCTAATCGGCCGCTGTTGCTCACTAATTTCTCTGCTCTGCTGCTGTCGTCGCTTGCCAGTGGCAGAAACCAATGGATGCGTCTGCTGGTCCTGGTTGGTTGCCCTAACAATGCTGCTCGACGTGCTGGCTGGTGTTGGTGCTAGTCAGAGCAGAGGCCTGCCGTTGCGTGGTGTCCACGGGGCGTCGGTGAGCGCGCGCGCGGTGTCCGGGAACGAACGGGCGTGCCTTTCCACGTGCGGCGGCCCCCGTTGACATGTGCACGGCTTCGATCGGGGATTCGGGCAGGGCCGATCAGCCGTTCGGGAGAGCCTCCCTGTGCGTTAGACAGCAGAGTACAGCATTGTTTGATGTCGCAAGGTTTTCTTGGCGTTCAGGCGATCCAGCTTAAAAAGGCGTTGGAGACGCTATGATAAAGTCAGATTTAGGCAAAATTTTAAAGTAGGATTGAATCATGCCAATCTTTGATTAAAGAGTCAAAACAGTGAGCCTGTCGCATAAGCCAAGAAGCTCCAGTGAAGGCATCTCCAACCGCAGACCCTTAAACCACCCGTAACCGTTCAGATTGCACGGGTCTGGAGGTGTGTTGCCACCCAACGCGTCCTGCATCGGTTCGCCAAGCAGTTCGTACA